CACTACTGGCCATGCACAGTCCCTGGACATCTGGAAGTCACCCACACCTGTATTATAGGATTATAGATTCCAAACATTTAGGCAGTTTTTGGCTTTCTGCAAGATACTGGCCTATTTGGTTAGCAGGAAGGAATCGGATGCATGAAATGTTAAGAAAGAACAACAGGTGTAGGGGCAGAATTGCAAGAGTCAACAAAAGGGTGTGGAAAATGCTTATGTCACGGACACAGCTGTTGATGACTAACTGGGACAGTGCTTATTCTGCACTCAGTCCTTCCCAAACCCTTCAGTTTATGAATGTGGGAAATTGCTTCTGTACCCACAATTCAGAACACCAGGAAATGGCCCAACATTGGCTTGTAATATTATATCTGCACTGCCAGCAGGAAGATGAATGTAAAGCTTTATATTGCAGAGGCCAACGTGAATGTTGATGGCACCAATGCCAGCAGTCAAGATGCTCTACAGCAGTGCTTCTTAACCTTTGGTTACTCAGGTGTTTTTGGACTGCAACTCCCAGAAGCCTTCACCACCAGCTGTGCTGGCTGGGGTTTCTGGGAGTTGCAGTTCAAAAACACCTGAGTAACCCAAGGTTAAGAACCACTGCTCTACAGGATCTTCTATTGTGCTCATTACCATTCACAGAGACAGCAAACAATGGGAAGTCCCAGGACATGACTCCTTTTTTTCATCTGTTAACTACTTCTCAATCAAACATAAAGTAACTGATATTGCTGTTTTTCAACAAGTTCTCAAGTTCTTTAAAATGGAAGTTCAGGTTTCCAGAACTTTTAAAAAACACACTGGATTACTCTTCTTTTTTGAAGGGCATAGGATCTTTCTCCTGATCCCAAGCCTATTCACTGTGGCTGTGACTGCACTGGCAAATAGTATGGCGATTTGATGTGGAGGCAGAAAAGACAAATATCAACTTTTAAAAAGTGAACACATGACTCAAAGGCCAAGGCGAATCCATCTCTTTTTTTTTCCAAAGGAATTTTCCTTGCCACTGGGGGGCTTCTACTTTTTTAAACCCAGAGTGATTCAAAATGTGTTCTTCTGTGTGATCAGTTGTTTTATTCTCCAAAAGGGTGGAGGGCATGACTGTGGGTGGTATTCTGGTGACATAGTGAGCTGGGCATAGTGTTTTGGGCAGGAGAAACATCTGCCCCCATGACCTTTATTAGTCACCATGGAGTATTTTTAAATTTTAAAAAACGTTTATTGCTAGATCAACTTATCATTGCATTGATACATTAGTTTATTGTCAGATCATCTGTGCATGGACGTCCCCTCCAAAGAAAAAGAAGAAGAAAAAAATTGATATGAAACAAAAATAACTCCGACAAACTACAGCAGGTTGCTACATTTCTGCATTATGTACGCATATATTTATATATTATGGAGAATTTTGAGAAATTGTCCCTTTTCCCCTATGCCATGCAACACTTTGAACAGCCCACTGGCTTTCCAATGAACCATAAAAGGAGAGCTGAGGATCAGCCACATCAAATTGAGGGGCCAGTGTGGACACTGGCACTGAAGCAATCAACAGTCTCCATGTGATCATCCAATCTGAATGGAAGCGTAAAGCAGACTGTAAATCAAGCTGCCGCAAAGCTGAATTACTTCAATCCAGCTTGCCAGTGTAGTCACAACTTGTATTGCACAGGTTTACCAGACAACTACTAGGGCAGGAAGTAGAAGACAAGGGGCCCAATCTAGCTCAGGTAAAATGCTGCAGTAGCAATAGAAATACTTTTCCTCATGTCTACTGCATATATAATGAGAAGGAGGCACAGTGAATGCAGGGCACCAGGCAGATGCAAACCTTCAGACTCGTCTGCATTTGGTTGTTGTGGGTTTTTCGGGCTTCTTGGCCGTGTTCTGAAAGTGGTTCTTCCTAACGTTTCGCCAGTCTCTGTTTGCTGTCCTCTGAAGATGCCGGCCACAGAGACTGGCGAAACGTTAGAAGAATCACTTTCAGAACACGGCCAAGAAGCCCGAAAAACCCACAACAACCATTAGATCCCGGCCGTGAAAGCCTTCGCGAATACATCGTCTGCATTTGTTTCCTAGGCAAGCAAGGGAAGCCTTAGGCAATGGGTAATTCTGCATACATATCACTGTTGTTCGACTGCAGTAGGTAGACTTGCAAATGTGTTGCTGGAGAATCAACTCTAGATCCTGCACATCCTTCTCAACATAAACTATATAAAATTAAGAAGCATCCAATTGAACTTTCATTCAACTCTTAAGTCCTTTAGTTCCAGATTAACTTCAAACGGCTTGCAGCTACTATGGGACTGTAATCTATGTAATGTACAAAGCATTTTTTGTGCACTAAGAAACATTTAATACTGCTGCAAAATTTGGTGATAATTTTAAATATTTGTGAATGCATATCAAATATAATGAAGTCGAGCCTGGTGGAAATTGATCATGCTGTTGCAAGTTATTTCTATCTTTAAAAGGGACTATAAATGTTTAGCAGTCTAGGCCACATTAAAAAAAGTAGGAGAACCCTCTACCAACACACTATTTGTGGTAATAGGAACAAACCCAACGACCCTTCCCTGTCTATCTCATACAGACTTTGCATTTCAAAGACTGACCAATGATATCTGCCACAGAGTCTGGATAATAGAATGCCCGACTCCATTCAGCAAGGGCTATAAGCTGCATGTACAGTCAGTTTCCATATATGCCAGGAACACAGATATGAACCTGAAGTATCTACATCTGCATTACAACCAGACTTTACTGTATTCGCTAGACGTATTGGTAACCAGAATGTGTGCATCTCAGTCTGAAGGCCAGATTTGGCTTTAGCTATCTGTGAGCCTTTGCTTACCCAAGTGCTGACTGTCCCCACATTCATGCCCCACCCACCCATACTTATTATTTGGATATTGGAATCTTGGAAATAATTCATTAAACATTAACTTACTATTCTAATTTATTAAGTTCTCCAGGAATTAATGTGAAAGTCATCATTTTAATTATTAAAACAACCATCAGCTCTAGTTTAGCTTTTCTTATTTTGTTGACTTGTTGGAAGCATTTTTTAGCAATTCCAGATAATCTTTTACAGTCTAATGATTTAATGAGTTAATCAACGTATTAACTGATGAATTTAATCTCTTAATGGTTCAAGGCTTCCTCAATAATTTAACATTAAGGCACTAGCACTCCCCCAACTATTTCCATACTCTGGGCTGTGGTGTTGGCTGCCACCAGTGTTAGCCTTCTTTTTATGCCAGAACAGACATACCAGATGTGACATGTCATGTAATGTGCTGAAGAACAAAGTTGAACCTGGGGAAATATTACTTTTGGGACTACAACTCTCAGAATTCCATGGCTAGTCTAAAAAGTAATTCTGTTAGCTCTTGAACTAAGCAGCTATGCAGCTCCCTAGCATTTCCTCCGTTGCTGGGTAGGTTCACTTGTGCAGGGTGGAGAGGTGCGGCAGCCACCAGCCCTCTCCCCACAGACTGGCTTATCAAGCTGCAGTGGTGGCACTATAAAAGTCTGAACAGCCATGCAGCTGCTTAGCTGCCGGTCCATTACAGCACCACTGGAAACTGAGGAGAAATGGTCATCCTCCTTTGCTTATGAGCTTACCAAGCAGTGGTGGCAGCGTAATGAGCTAAGAAGCTGAGTTAGGCCCTTTGCTCCCTAGCCCATTAGGCTATCTCTATGCTGGGCAGGTCAGTCCATTAGCAAACACAAGGGAGATTATGGCAGACACAGCAGTCCATGCTGCCAGTGGGGTCAAAATGGCAGCAAACTTGGGAGTCAGGAAAGGTGTCTGCTCTGGGTGGGCCATTTGGGGGATTCATGCACCCCAGCAAATGCTGCAATATCCAGTATTGGCCATGCTGGTTGGCATTTACTTGGAGCTGTGGCCAAATAAATAACTGTTCCACACTCTGGCTGCTGATACCAGAATTAGTAGAGCTACCAGCCAAACGTAGGTTTGTGTGAGCTGACAGGCAGATCTGGGCCAAAGTGTTTGGTATTACAACGACCCCTTTTCAGTGCCCCTGCATTTCTGCTATCATTAAATATTAGAAAAATTATAGAAGATGGGAAGCATCTAACTTTTGTGTTAAAAATCACACACTGTTTTACACAACTTCAGCATACTGTAACTGATACCTTGTAAATCCATTCAAGCAAACCCAAACTGCAATTATCAGTTGTTTGTTTTTTAAAATGTGTTAGTTCAAAATATATGAAATGCATGTGTCCTGATCTGGCAGGTAAGATCTATGGACAGAAGTGAGCCCCTGGAGGTGTGACTAATACAGACACACTTATGCAACTCTTTAATGCTGTTCCTCCACACCTAGAAATTGTGCTGGATGCATCTTCTGATGCAGTTGATGTTAAATATTGTGTATAGATTGAATCTAGATTTAGTCATACTATAGAGTTGTCCCAGTGAAATTAGGTCAGCCATGATGAATTTCAGTGCTGTTGATTTACCTGAGTCCAAACTTAGTATGATCAAGCATGAATCTAGTTCTTTGAATAACAGAGCAACTATGATTTGAACTGGGGCCATAAGATTCAACAATATGATTTATATTGTCTTTTCCAATGCATTAGTATTCATATAGAAATGAGTTTCAGAAACATTTCTACAGTAGTTCTTTATGTGCTTTGTATATGATACTCTACTGATTGTAACCATACGTTATCTATCTATTAACTAGGAAAGAACCCAAACCCTTCAATTTTGGAAACAGTGCATCCTCTTTCCTCCTATCTCATGTGTTAAAAATCCCAATTGTTACTTACTCAGCTTAAAGCAATTTTAAAATGAAGTTTCAATTCTCTCTAAAGGTTTAGTTGGAAGAAATAGAGCCAATAATTAAGGGTAGTTTTTGATCAGAAGGTCTTGGGAAAGGCATACTTCTTTTCATAAAGCTATTTGAAATTGCGGCTTGCTGCTAAAATGGAAAACAAAAAATCAAGGTGGTATTCTCATCTAATTTGTGATTCCTTTCTTTATTACACTGTAAATTATTGAAGAAAATGCAGCCTATTTTTTTTTTAAAAAGCACCTATGTTGAAGGTTTGCCAACAAAAATGCTGGTTTACAATTCAATTATTTCAGTGTTTTTCAAAATCCCCATCTTCATGGTCAATTCATCCACTCACTTGTTCATTCGATAATGCCTCAGTAGAACTTGGAAATGTTACTCTTTTGGATTACATCTCCCAGAAATAGAAGGGGTGACTGTGGTTGGGGGAATCTGGAAATTGTAGTCCAAAAAAGCAACTTTCTCAAACTTAGCAGGCTATAGTAGATCCTGAGGCACTTTCCAGGGCACAGTTTGTTCACAGGGGAGTCACTGGCCAGCTTGAAACGTTCTACTGCTGTTTAGCAACACCTGACTTGGTATCTTTGAAAACACTTCCCATAGCTGTGGGTGACAGGGCAAGACTGGTGGTAGTGCACAAACCATTTTTCACAGAAGCTTCCCCTCATTGCTAATTTTCTCAGTGAGGAAACTCAGAGGTTTTCAGGACACATATTTTGGAACCCATGGATAAAATGATGAAAATATAAGTTATTAATCTACCCCACCCTCTCAACAATTGACATGTTAGTCCAAGACTCCTTATATCTACAGGCAATCCCCTTTCCTTTAGATTGCAGGAAGCTAAATATTCTTGTATTAAGCCATAGCCAATGTGGTGAAATGAAATTGCATATAGTGGACACTGAGTGAAAAGATGCAGTACCTCTGAGACATGTTACTTTTACTGGATCCAGAGGACGTCTTTCAGGACCAGTGTCTCCTGACTGCACTGACCTTTTCCTTTTTCCAAGGCCGCACGAGTACTTAAGCTCATCGGTTGTGAAGACAAATCTGATGAGGTAGCGGAGGAGCCGACGCCCATCTTTCTTTGAGGAGTTTACAGCCTCATCCCACTGTTTGCTAGTGATGTAGACGGGGTAGTTGTTCAGCAACTGCTTGCTCCCCTGAGGAAAAGAAAAACAATTTCCCTGTCTGTCAGAAGGCCAAATGACAGAGAAGAAAAAAGTATTTACTAAATAAAATAAAATAAAGGACAGGCGCCTGTAAAATGAAGACAATGAAAACAGACACTGATGCGAAAACCCAATTGCTCATCTTGAAAATATGCATTTAAAGCAACCTGCATTTTCCATAACAAGAACCAGTAACATATAATGAACACCTTGAGAGACAAAAAGGCTATTTATAACATAGTTTTGCACGTAGGTTAAAATGTGTCAAGATTCAGTGATTGGGAAAGCTATTTAAATATAATCTTCTCTTTTAATCTATTAAAATGTGTAAAAATGTCTTTTGAAGAGTGTGATCAAACAGCCTTTTCCTTCAGTTGACAGACAGCTACTTCAGAAGTTATTTTTTAAAGAAATCTATTTACATAATTAATGTATCACCTTTTGTTTAACACTGTAAGAGCCTGACAGCAGTTATGTTGCAGAAGCCTCTCCAAAGCAAGTAAACAAAGTTAAAACTGAAAGATCCAAAACAGTTTTATTACAAAAGAACTCTGAAATAATGCATTGGTTGGTGCAAATGGTGCCACAACTTCAGGGGAAACTTTTCACACAGACTCTCCTGGTTGACACTTCCTCCGTCCTGTTCAGTTCTAAATAGATAAAAAGGAAGGTTCAGACACTCACCATAATGTTAAGCTTAACAAGTGTATCTGCAGGACAGTCTAAAGAGGTTGGGGAAAGGGGGCAGCCCACTGAGAAAAAAAAATTCTTCTGATGCAGATTAAGACCATGATATGAGAGGAAAGTTAATTCCAACCTGTGTTGCTATTTTGCAGACACACGTCATCCCTGCAATGGGAGGTGAAATAACACCTTAAGTGGAAATAGTTGTATCAGGAAGGGGAATTTATGTTTAGAAAACAATATGGAGAGAAAAAGAATTAACTCCCCTTCACACCCTAGACTAGATTGTGAGGGACAGCTCATGCATTTTCTAAATAAAGTTATGTTGATAGTTCTAACTGTATTGCTTAAAAACACAATTATAATGCATCGTCATAATCATCATCTACATGCATCATCATTATAATCATCATGTGCTGTCAAGTCAATTCTAACCTGAGGCAACCCTTTTCAGGGTTTTCCAGGTAGAGCATACACAGAAGTGGTCGGCCATTCCCTTCTTCTGTGGGGTGCCTCAGGACTGTGCAGCTTGCCCAAGGCCACAACAGGCCGGCTCTTCTCCCAGGAGGCACAGCAGCTCCTCTGGCTCCACAGCCAGATAACTAAACCACTAGGTTATCCAGCTAGCCAATCATATGCATATCTACTCAGAAATAAATCCTACCAACTTCAATGGGACTTACAGATTCTAACGTTAATGTAACCTGTAGTCTGGCTGCGTCCTTGATCATAATTGCTTTTTGTTGCTGTAAGCAGAGGTTTCTTTTTCCTCCTAAGGGTCTGTCTGTCAAATATACACATATATGCTAATTTTAATATACCTCTTTGAAAGGTCAAGGAAGAAATTATTTAACAAGGGCTACAACACATATAAGGTGACCCAGAAAACCCCCTTAAGGATCACAGCCTCCAGGTTCAGAAACACTGTTTTAGGGACTTGTGGCTCTAGCAACAATTAAACTGTTCTGATTTTGTTTGTTTTGCTTTTTAGTCTGTAAAACTTCATGTGCAGGGATGTCACTTAATATACGAATAATAGTATTAAAAAACAAACGAACACATTTTGATCCAAAAACTCACTGCATATACGGTGGTTTGGTACATGTCACTGGGATGGAAAAAGACATGGCTGGAATTCATATACAAGAGCAAGAAGACAGACAACTCAGGAAACCTGGGTTCGAATCCCCACTCAGGCATGGAAACTCAATGGGAGTGGGAAACCGGTAAAGCTGTTCCTTAAACATCTCTTTTGTGGGAAACTGGTAAAGCTGTTCCTTAAACATCTCTTTTACCTTGAAAGCTCTGTTAGGGTTGCTATAAGTCAGTTCTGACTTGACAACACATAACAACGCAGAGAGGAATAAATTAAAGACTCATCTTCTCTCATTGTCAAAACTAATAGGATTCTATTCACGTAAACCACTCAAAATTTATTGCTTCATTTCTTTTTCTTACTAAAATACAAGTGGCTTGACTTTCCTCAGCACTTACAAAGAAGATTATGTAATGCTTTTTAACCCTGAATGTCTGAGACAAGGCATGTTTTTGCTGGAATTATGGAAAAAAATGTTTTGCTTAAGTAGCACTAAGTTCTGTTATCTTTTAAGAGCATAACAAAGTTTAGTAAATTCCTTGCTTTCTGCAGTAAGAAAAAATATTGGACAATGTTTCTTCTTCTCATTTACAAGCACTATGGTGAGATAATGCATTTGCATATGTTCTGAAAATGTCAGATGTAAACATAAATGTTTCTAGTACTGAAGTTAAAAACATTCATGCTTTTTTTTTTTTGAAGTGAAAAGGCTTCAATAATTCTAGACGCCAGCAAGAGTCATCTCAATTTTTCTGTATTCCTTTTGCATTTTCTGGTGTCTATACCTAAGTTAGCTTGAGTGGCAATCATAGTTTATACATTTTAAATATGTTTATAACGTCTTAAATATGCCTGGATAGCAGCCCAATAAAGCTAGGCTATTTGTTTAGACTAAATTTTTGAAAATCTCTAAATAATGTTTATATAACTCTTAGCCACAGAAGAGAATCAGTCAAGATTAAAAATTTTATGTAGGATAAGGATGTTTTGATCAGTAGTAAAGATTTGTTTAAAATTACTGCTTTATACACACCTTTACATAAACAATAGTATGATGTTGATCAGATTGCAAGTAGATAAACCTCAGTTTGTTAACTGAAGACAATAATAGAAAAACAGCTTATTTAAGACAGAGATAGCAGAAGGAAGGAAGCAACATGGACCACAACTAAGGAAATTTAAGATGGCTGGTTTAATTCTTTTGGATAAGACACCTTTGTTTTAGAATTTTGGATGTGTGTCAGTGTTGTAATTGTTTAAGGCTATGCATTATAAGATTTATATTTAAAATGTGGCTAAAATATCTTCTTCCGATGACATTTTTTATGATTACAAGTTTCTACATTTCTGGAGTGATCATTTTATCTTACATGAAAAACAGATTAAAGAAAAACATATAGTATCAGTTTGGCTGACTGAATTTCTTCCTCAAACCAGTAGAATAAAGAGAGAAAAGTGTCTGAAGAAAGAACTACTTTCACCTTGAGTGATATATAGATTACTCTTCTGCCCAGAACAGAGAGGAAGCCTTTTTACAAGGATGCCCAAATGAATTTTCATTATAAGTGATTAGAATTACGAGTTCCACACAAACAACAAAACTCTCCCTTCTGAAGAAGGATGTCTGTCGTGGGAAGAATCTACGGGTTTTCTTCTAATTCCCCCAGATTTCACATCAGCTGGCTGTATGGGAAAGATGAGGATGGGTGACCCTACAATCTGACACCAATTCATGGGTAAATAGAGCAACTGTGAGAAAGTCTACTTTGCAGACAAATGATATCTGTTTGTAGATTTGTCTATAAACAATACATAGATATCAATGAAACTACAGGAACGAATAGTGCATGTATGACCAAGAAAATGAAGTACTCATGCAAAACAGGGTAAAAGCTGCTAATATAACACATTGTTAGTATTACAGATGCTATAGCTCTTTTGTCTTTGCTGCAACAGGGTTGAAATAGCACTATTCTTCAAAGCTTACTGTAGTGGACAACTCCCATGCTGTTAGGAAATGTAGTTCAGAAAAGGCACTTTCCAGTCTCTAATATTTTACATCTTACTGGGCTTCCAGAAAAAAAAGAAGAAACATCTTAGTAACCTAACTTCTAAGCCAAGTTATACGTTATCCTACCATGGGCTCTGGAATCTCAATTGGGAATTAGATGCTACCCCGAGGAAAGAAAGAAGAGGAGGTGAGAGGAGAACTAAATACTAGATGTTTGTGGTTATTATTGTTGTTATTCCTGAATACCTTGGGCCCAGGTTTGCTGTGAATCTTACATGTCTAGAAAGCGTTCAGACAATGATAAAGAAATGAAAATGTCCTTTTGGAAGAACCAATTAATTATATTTAGTTATCCTGGGAGTATGATGTGGCCCTTTGAACTGCATACTCAGATATATGAATGAAATGCTGGATAGCTCAGTGGTTTAGGTATCTGGCTCCAGGGCCAGAGGCTGGGAGTTTGATTCCCCACTGTGCCTCCTTTATGTATGTATGTATGTATGTATGTATGTATGTATGTATGTATGTATGTATGTATGTATGTATGTATGTATGTATGTATGTATGTATGTATGTATGTATGTATGTATGTATGTATGTATGTATGTATGTATGTATGTATGTATGTATGTATGTATGTATGTATGTATGTATGTATGTATGTATGTATGTATGTATGTATGTATGTATGTATGTATGTATGTATGTATGTATGTATGTATGTATGTATGTGTGTATGTATGTATTTTATTTTATTTATATGCTGCCCACTCTACCCAACAATTAAGGGACTAGACTTCCTTCCAGCTCTGTACAGTGAACCCTCAATTTACAGATGGCGCCACTTACAGACTTTTCGAGTTACAGATTTCTCTGGCCGCAAAATGAAGGTTCAACTTGCAGCCGGAGAATTGACCTACAGACCGGAAGGAAAAAAACCCAAAATGGAACAAAAATGACCGGTTACGGATTAATCGGTATTCAATGCATTGTAGGTCAATGGAGCCTTGACCTATAGACTTTTCGACCTGTAATCCAATACGGATTAATTCCGTAAATCGAGGGTCCACTGTAGTTCTAAGATTATATGTTATTGTGTCTTACTAAGTTAAATGGATCTTATGTCTCAGAAAATGTTCATAAGAGACTGATATATTTGAATGTATCCAAAAATTGGAATGTTTACTCTCTAGAATCCTCTTGCAAACATGGCCAGTAACTTTTCTGGTTGAAGGACTCTAGATGTTCATTACTCAAAAAAATAATTCTCCCAAATCTATTTTGAATCTCATTTCCTACTACCTGTAGCCCATAGCAATGTAACAAAAAATAAATCGGGGAAACAAAATATAGGGTACTATTAAGGATATTTCATATGACTCTTCTGGCAGCCGCTGCCGCACACAGAAGGAGGGCTGTGTTGCACTGCGGGGAGCTGCCTTCTGCACGCTGCAACGGCTCCTCCTAGTGCCTCCCTGGGAAGCGCTGTGCACTGAGTGGCCCAGGCCTGTGGTGCTGGCAGCAGTGAGCAGCCCCTTAACTGGCCAGGGAGGGAGCTGTGGAGCTTGTTCACCTGGCCTGGGCTCTTCCTTGATGGCTGCGGGCTGCAGGGACGGCCCAGGACAGGAAAAGTACCGGCTGCTGGTGGCGGGCGTCGTTGTGGAAAAGTTGGCACTCACCATCCAGTTCATCCAGTCCTACTTCGTCACAGACTGTGATCCAACTATAGAAGATTCTTACACACTAGAATTCCTCATGATTCTAGTGGGTAACAAAGCAGACCTGGACCATCAGAGACAGGTAACACAAGAAGAAGGACAGCAACTAGAACGGCAACTGAAAGTAACATATATGGAAGCATCAGCAAAAATAAGATTGAATGTAGACCAAGCTTTTCATGAACTTATCAGGGTAATAAGGAAGTTTCAAGAACAAGAATGTTCTTCCCCAGAGCCAACAAGGAAGGAGAAAGACAAAAAAGGGTGCCATTGTGTCATCTTCTAAGAATACTTTGAACCAAGCTTTCAACTGCCAGATTAATTCTCTTCAGCTACCTTTCTGTGTGCCTTGGTGTTTCGTCTAGCCTTTTGTGTGCATGTTGTATAAATATAGTCACCGAAGTAGCCTCAGTCTAAGGATGTTTCATATCTGATTGTCACTGAATTTAGGATGTACTCTATACATAATAGGGTGTATTTAGAGGTTTTAAGGGGTGTAGCTGTGTCAGTCAGCTGTTGTGAAAACATTAAAGCATTTTGTAGCACCTTGAAGACTAATGGATCTTATTTGGCATAATTATTTGGACTGCAGCTCACTTCAGTAGTACACAGAGTGTTACCTTGGTTTGCAAAGTATTAACTGCACTTTTGAGTGGTAAAATGCAATGGCTGTAGCAAGGAAACGGAATACAAAAGGTACAAACCTTGATCATTACCCAAAGCGGAGCTGATCAGTACAAGTATTGTGACGAAATGTCAAATATGGCAAAGGAAGTCAAGACAAGGTTTAAGTAAAGGGTTAGGCTAGATAGACTTCATTATGGTCCTAAGCATGTACCTCCTTGGAAAAATTCAAGACTTTGCAAGCTTTTCTTTGGTTAAGTAACCTATATTTTTTGTAACCATTTAATCATTTCCTGTTTCTCCCCCATTTTCTTATTTTTAATAAAATCCATAAAATCCTATCTAGGTACTCTTTCCAATGTCTAAACTATTTTGCCAAACTACTAGGCTCTGAAATAAGAAAGAGCATGTGGGTAGTGGTGGCAGTGCTGTTGTGTATGTAAAGCATGGATGGATTTCACTAAGTAGAAGACACAACTGCAGGGAAGGGTTTACATGTCAAGAAGTGGAGTGAAATGGCTTGATAGGTCCCCTCTGTCCTATGCCTTTCCTGAATTTCCCCACCTCAGGGTGAAAAGGGCTGGGAGTAGAGACGCTATCAGAAAAAGAGCCAGCCAGCTGGGCTGATGCAACAAAACATCACACCAAGGATGAAATATCTTGATAGAAAAACAATGAAACTCCATTAACTGAGCTTTCTCTTCCCTGAATAGCACTGAGAGAGACCTGATGGATTTGAGGTAAAAATCTCTCATTCCTTTTTTTTGTTTTGTTTTGTTTTCTTTTGAGAGAAGAAATGAAACTGGCCTAATTAGAAACTATACTATTCAAATATCCTCCTTACTTATTCAACATCCCCTCCCCATAATTATTGTTGAACACATTCACAGTAATCTATCTGTCATTTGTTTTCTTACGCTCCAGATATTTATAAGTCGTATGCTTTTTTGGACAAAGTAACAATACAATTATGTTGTTTCTCACACAAAGTAATGAAAAGTAGCAAATATTAGAACATGGAACACAGTATTTCATGTTATCTATAGAGGCAGACACTAGCTTACAAAATGGAAAAACTTCTAACAGAACACGAGCAATAAGCAGATATCCCACCTACCAATTAAACAATAGTTTTGAATTACTGTAAATGTCATGATATCCTCTTAAAAATATGGGAATTGTTCTCTGGTGAGATACTGAGTATTCTCGTTCTTCCTGGATCAATTATAATTGCTAATAAAGAGGGTATCCCTGTTACATTCAGAGCTTGGAAAACTTCTATTTGGTACTGCAAGTCCCAGATTTCTGAAAACAGCATGACCACTGTTGTCCTAAAATAGTTGAAGCCAAATTAAGTTTGCAATGTAGATATATCTTCAGAATAAATGAAAGAATTTGCCTCAATGCAGCTATGCAAGAAATCTAGCCTCTGCTAATTCCTAGCATATGCCAAAATTATCAGGCAAGAACAAAGACAGATTAGCAGATTAGTAAGTGCATCAAGCATCCGGTGGAAGCTTACCTATCAGAGAGCGATTGTGGATCATGTCTTGAGTCTGAAATGGTAACATGCATCCAGGTTTGTAACTACATAGGCATTAAGGTGTAAACTCTGGGTTTCTGTACCTTCACTTTCTTTAAACTTCAACATCAAATTTGACTCTCTGCCTCTGAGTACATCTTAACCAAAGAATCCATCCAGCTCCTTTCTTTTTGTGCATAAATAGACTGCTAGTTGCAAGAACATTTTGGCATGCAGACCCCAATTCACATTAAAGTTTACATGCTTAGAGGTGGCTGATATGTAAGCCTAAAGCTGCTAGCTGTACAATGTTTAAATCTGAATTGAGAATGAAAAGGGTCAATGAATGCAGTAATGTGTTCCATATAAGAGGTAAATTATTTCAGTTCAGAGTATTAGTTACCTTAAAGTAGCAAACATATTTGTCCAGCATATATTGACTTAGTTTCCTGTACACTGAAGTATCCCATCATACTCTACCTCTGCTGGCTGCTCCACAGGCTGAGGAATCATGAGCTGGTTATGATGCTGAAGCACAGTCTTCAAATAATCTAAAACCGTCTGGCAGGGCACTGCAGGAAAAACAATACACTGTACACATGCTGCTTACTGTTACAAGTAAAAGATACCAAACACCATTTCCTAAAATCATCATCATCATCATCATCATCATCATCATCATCATCATCATCATCATCATCTGCTATCAAGTCCATTCTGAAAGGGGGGGGGATAACCATTTACTGGGGTTGCTGCCTTTTCTCATGTCAAGACATCCTTGGCTGAGCAGCCTCATTTTCCTACTGGGATTCTTGCCAGATTAAAAATACTGCCCTTGAAAGAGGAGTTGGAGACAAGTTTAATAAATACATATAATAGAATAACATTGTCAGAAGTGAAAAGGGAGGAAGAAAATAACACAAACTACCTTCTTTTTAAATATGAAAGGCTAGGGGGCAGATCTAGCTCCCAGGGGAAACCGCTAGGCACAACTTTGAATGGCAGTCACTAAATGACATCAAGATGGTGATGATGATTACAAGCCAACAAGTCAATTCACACCTACAGTGACCCTTTCTAAAGTTTTCTAGGCACAATGTACTTAGAAGTGGCTTACCATTCCCTTCATCTGGGGGCATCCTGGGAATGAGCAGCTTGCCCAAGGCCACTTAGGCTGACTCGTCTACGAAATACAGTGGGGAATCAACCTCCCAACCTGTGGCTCCTCAGTCAAAGATCTAACTCACTAAGTTAGCCATGGCTTTTCTAGCAATCAATAAACATATCTTTTGAAATCAGTTGTTTTTGTAAGTAACCTTTTTGGTTTCATTATTTATCCTGTGATTTTTAAGCTGTACAATATAAAACTGATTATGACTTCATAAAATAATCTTTAGTTGTGTTCTATTTATATGTCTCTTACATCTCTGTAAAACAGAACTCAAATGCATTTTTGTATTAGGACACATGTTTTAATGTGTTTCGGATCTCAATTTGTTGCTGTAACTGACGAAGAGAGTCCACACAAACTCGTGTGCCGCTTATCCCCTTCCTCTTCCCCTTGTGTACATAAGTCTCCCACTTCAATTTGCTAATTCTCCCAAACCAGAATATTCAAATTAGGATTAGGGCTAACTTCAAAATGAGAATTTACAGTCCCATCTCACTCTACTATTTATATGAACATGCCACTCCATTTGCTAATCTAGATTATGTGGAGAATTATAGCTAGAAAAAGCCAAAAAATGGAGGATAAAACTCTTGCACCAAATGAGAGGACAGCTCATAAGCACCTTCCCCAGAGAGCGGGGGGGGGGGCACTCTTATTTACCAAGCAATTGTTTGGGTTGACAGTTGAACACAGCCTCCAAGCTTGTTCTCATTCCCTTGGAAGGCTAACTAAGAGATCCTGGATCAGATGAAATGTGCTTATATTCCAGAATACTGCACAGTGACCATCCAGAAGCCTCTTGGAAGTTTAACGGCTCAGCAAGATCAAGACAAATGGTAAACAGGCATCTGCCCTCTCTGCCTTTGCAAAGAGCTGTCAGTCATGATTTTTTACTCCTTTTAAAAAGCCATCCCCACAAACAACCATCACACAGGCAGATGTATAAAAACCACACTCCCCAGCCACACCCACAGACAGAGATGAGATGTGATGAGATGGCAAAGCAAACAAAGCCAGAGAAGAAGAAGGCTCAGTGCTCTGTCTGTTTTAAGTGCCGACTCTTCTGCCCAAAGTATCTCTTCTCATTTCCTTATGTCAGAGTGGGAATTAGACTATGGGAAGAAAAGTTTCAGGAATTTAAAAGTGTTACCAGAAACAAGGCAGGTGGATAAGAAACTAGCCATGAATGGGTGCATAAAGACTCTGTTACACTGGCTGAGCAACTGGGGGCAAAACATTAATTCTTTCCAATATGCCGGCAAGTTTGGAAAACTGAGCAGTGGCTAGAGGACTGGAAAAGTTCAGTCTACATCCCAATCCCAAAGAAGGGCAGTGCCAAAGAATGCTCCAACTACCATACAATTGCTAGCAAGGTTATGCTCAAAATCCTACAAGGCAGGCTTCAGCAGTATGTGGACTGAGAACTCCCAGAAGTACAAGTTGGATTTTGAAGGGGCAGAGGAACTAGAGACCAAATTGCTAACATGCACTAGATTATGGAGAAAGCCAGAGAGTTCCAGAAAAACATCTACTTCTGCTTCATTGACTACGCAAAAGCCTTTGACTGTGAGGACCACAGCAAACTATGACAAGTGCTTAAAGAAATGGGAGTGCCTAACCACCTTATCTATCTCCGGAGAAATCTATATGTGGGACAGGGAGCAACAGTTAGAAGTGGATATGGAACAACTGATTGGTTCAAAATTAGGAAAGGAGTACGACAAGGCTGTATATTGTCTCCCTGTTTATTTAATTTATATGCAGAATACATCATGCAAAAGGCTGGACTGGATGAAACCCAAGCCAGAATTAAGATTGCTGGAAGAAATATCAACAACCTCTGATGGTTACCACTCTGATGGCAGAAAGTGAGGAGGAATTAAAGAACCTCTTAATGAGGGTGAAAGAGGAGAGCACAAAAAATGGTCTGAAGCTCAACATCAAAAAACTAAGATCATGGCCACTGGTCCCATCACCTCCTGGCAAATAGAAGGGGAAGATCTGAAGGCAGTGACAGATTTTACCTTCTTGGGCTCCATGATCACTGCAGATGGTGACAGCAGCCATGAAATTAAAAGACGCCTGCTTCTTAGGAGGAAAGCGATGACAAACCTAGACAGCATCTTAAAAAGCAGAGACATCACTTTGCCAACAAAGGTCCGCATAGTGAAAGCTATGGTTTTTCCACTAGGGATGTATGGAAGTGAGAGCTGGCCCATAAAGAAGGCTGACTGATGAAGAATTGATGCTTTTGAATGATGGTGCTGGAGATGGTTGGACAGTGTCACCGAAGCTACCAACATGAATTTGACCAAACTCCAGGAGGCAGTGAAAGACAGGAGGGCCTGGCATGCTCTGGTCCACGAAGAGTCGGACATGACTTAACGACTAAACAACAAAACCAGCAGGAATCCCCAGATAATAAGAACAAGTACAGGGGGAAAGGAGTCAATACCAGTGCCGCACATACAAACAGGTAGGAACAAAAATAATGAGTCAAGATATGAACAGAAAGGAAGAAGAAGTTTAATGGTGAAGGAGTTCCTTGAATGTTACCTATATGAAAATGGTGGTATCTTAAAAACAAATGTACTATGACATGAGCTTCTATAGGATACATACATCTGATGTGATGGACCCAGCTCCCTGAAAGCATATGCTAGTCCTCCCCAGCTGACACTTATTTCAGTTCAGAATATTATTTTTGGACTACAACTTCCAGGATACCCAACTCACAACAAATGTTGCTGAGGACCTGCTGGGAAAGGGTAGCATAAACCTGGTGAAGTACACATTGGCAAGGTTTGCTTGTCTCATAATAAACTCTTTCAAGTAATGCATCATGGCATCTTGTATAATTCTACAGGTGTAGGCTAGGTGCTGAGTTTGGATTTAAAGTACAGTGTGTGTGTTGAGTCATATACTGGCCTGTAATCTGCCTTAAATGGTCTACATTTGTTCCTTTGGTCAACAAACATGCTTTAAATATAAAAATCAAGAGAGTATACTCAGCATCTCTTATGTGGTTAGGCTTAACTAATGCATGCTCAATGATTGTGAAAAAGCAATCTTGATTAAGAACAGAGGAAGTATCTTACTGCATCATTGGGTTTATAAATGAGACCATAGTGGGGCAACCTGATGCCATGATACTTATGCAATGGGTTGTTTCCAGCTGCATAATTTGTGCAAGTTTTATATAATGAGTAATTTCTCTTCTCCTTTTTAGATAGAAAAGATCAACATGTATTTAAGACATTGGCCAGAATCTTGTTGTTCAGTTTTGTTAGCAGACAATGTAGTGCAATGAAATAAACTGCAATGGTGAGTTATTAAATTATTCCCTGTATCCCTCACCATGCACTACCCACGTGAGCTGGTGAATAACAAAGAATACAAGGGGCAACTTCTTAACTTGTGGCAATTCACTGATGTGAATTATGCCACTGCACATTTGCCAGCGCAAATACCCAACAGGATTCCTGCCATCCATTTGTTGCTCTTAGACTAAAAGGAGTTCTCAAAGCAATTTAAAAATGCTGTCTCACAATCCATCTGTTAAAAAGCAAAATAGCTAACAAGCAGACAAGCTAAGGCTTTAAAATACCATTTCATCCCACAGCTACTGTATAATTTTCAGCTGTAAGGGAAGTTTTGGAGATAAAAAAGATCTTCCTCTGTAGGCAGCAAGACAACAAAGATGATGCAGAAGGAAAGAGGTTCAGCAGAGAGTGATGAACAGCTGGCACTCTAGTAGCAGGCTCTGCCCTGTGTCCCAACCTGTTTCCCTTTGAAAAAGAAGAAGCAAAGGGCAAGACAAATCTCTTACAGTACACCCGTGGCCTGCCTTTCTATTGAAAAACAGTACTCAAAAGCAACAATACACTAGACTATCTATTTATGAATGAAATATTAAACTTTACTGCTGAAATACTGTGGCCTGTATCCTATTACCTGAAGGTGGAGCAGAAGGGCAGTCATATGAGCATCTTCCAATTCTGGCAGGCATCCTGTCATGGGGACAGTCTTGTGCCACCTTCAAGATGGGCCAGCTTCGTTTAGCATGAGCTTTTGTGGATTGTAGCCCATTTGACATATACAACTTGAGGAAGTGGGCTGCACTTTGCCAAAGCTTATGCCAAACAAAATGGGTCAGTCTTGAAGGTGCCATAAAACTTTGCTGTTATTCCAGCAAAAGTTACATCTATAAGGGTAACCAATGAGTCTCTGTTACTTTTCAGTAAAACAAATTTACAACTGCAATTTGCCTACAATTTCTATTCATTTTCAGAACTACGGATGGTTACATTTTTTTTTCAGAACAATTCCTGGAATCCCCAGCCATCATGGCTGGGGAATTCTGGGAGTTGTTCCCCCCCCCCAGTACCATTTCCAAACTTTGTTCATTCCTTTAACTTTGATGCAATACATTACACACCGTGGTAGCCCTAAAGATAATTGTGCCCAGAAGTATCCTTGCTTATGTTTAAAAGGTCTAGTTCTTGGGTCTTAAACCTTAAACATCTAAAATCTCATGTATTACCTGGGATGCTCTCCAACTTCCGTCGGAGTTCTTCATTTTCTTGTTGCAACGAAATTACCTCCTGCTCCAGCTCTTGGCAACGAGGACAATAACCTTCCTCCTCCTCCTCCTCCTCCTCTGGAAGTGTAGATGATGATGGGTGACCGTGGGACTCAGAAGTTGCTGGGGATGTCCATCCACCTAAAGTGTGCACTGGAGAGGTTGAGAGTGGATCCACATCTGCTAAATGGCCAAAATCACTCATTGAAGAAGCATTCTGAGAAGGAAAGCTTCCAGAAAGCAAATAGTTTTGGAGAGAATCAGTAAATACCCTAAGAAAAGCAGAGGTCTGCTGCTTCTTGTGCATGTACTGCAACTCAAGGTCTAAATTGTCCGATGTCTGACTGTGGATCATTTTCCCAAGCTGGCACTGCTCTGGTCTCTCACTAAAACTCATGCTCTCTTGCTTTACACAGGAAGTCAATGACTGCGAGCGACTGTTGTCCAGAAGTTTTCCACCACAGTTTAAAAGACTAAGCACCCGGCTGCACTGCTGGGCGAAGGCATCCAGAATCATACGGCTCTCTGAAACAGAAGAAGAGATGCAGAAGCCCAAAGCAGAGCCATTAATCAGTCACAATGCCAGCTAGATAACAGGCTTGATGAAGTTCATCACATAAAAAAAAAGTTCAGGGTTTAAAAAAACACCACATATGCACATTAAATTGATCACAACTCTCCTTACAGTTATTTTCTTCATTTATAGCCTGCCTTTTATCTCTAAGCAGTGGAGGAAAGCCTATGGTCCCCTAGACATTGGACTACAGCTCTCATCACGCCCAACTATTTCTTGTTGGGCGGGGCTGATGAGATGTGAATACCACACGTTCCTCACCCCTTTTCTAGGCCGAATTAGACTATAAATTGTTTCCAGACTTAGAACAGTGGTCCTCTAGACATTGGACTACAGCTCTCATCATGCCTGACTATTTCTTGTTGGGCGGGGCTGATGAGGTGTGAATATCACACGTTCCTCACCCCTGTTCTAGGCCAAATTAGACTATAAATTGTTTCCAGACTCAGTGAGACTATAAATTGTTTCCAGACTTAGAACAGAACCACTGGAATCAGGGTGATATAACTTTGCTATGACTAATGAAAGTCCCACCGATTTCAACAGGTATAGTTCACTTACAAGACTCAACTACAAAAGCCATTTTAAAGAGGAAAGGCCACTTTCAGAGGAACGGCTAAAGCAGCAGCTGGGAACCTTTAGTGTTTCAACCACTTTCAGCTCTAAATCAAATATCCCTAGCAGCTTTCCCCCCGTGGAGCTCCAGACGTACATCTGTAAGGATGATCAAGATAATATTACACCTACAGTATCTGCATATAACAACAACTGATTTCACCCTCAGCAAAACCCCAATGTTAAGAATATAAAATCATTTTAAAAGTCATACATAAAAACTATAAGATGTGTTACGAACAAATGCTTCCTTAGCCTTCTTCAGCCATCAAACATGGAGTAGAAAAAGAGGTCTTAAGGCTGCTGTGTAAACGGTGAAAGACCTGACATAGACAAACAGCTCTTAAATAGAAAGGGCATTCATTCCATCAGCCTGGGAGGACAGCATCCAATTTTAGCCAAGAAGGAAGGCACGCAAGGACAATGCTCATCTTGCTGGGTGTATAGAATCTGCAGTGGTGGACAGAGATCATCAAGACCTTCAGATCAGAGGTTCCCAGTCCTGGACTGCTATAGGTTTTTAGACTCTTAGCCAGCTTGGCCAAGAGTCACCAATTCTGACTGTGGCACCACATCAGTATCTACAGATCAAAGATTGGGAACCAGTGCTTTAGACCAGTGATCCCCAACCTTGGGCCTCCAGATGTTCTTGGACTTCAACTCTCAGAAATCCTAGCCAGAAGAGATGGCGGTGAAGGCTTCTGGGAGTTGTAGTCCAAGAACATCTGGAGGCCCAAGGTTGGAGACCACTGCTTTAGACAACTTTCCAGCCCACCTGGGAATGGTTCTCCTATGAGTGGCTACTTTACAACTTGGAAGGCATTAAAATTAGAAACAAACAGGATCTGGATATCCAGATAAGCTTGCCAGCAGCACCCCATTTCCTACTCTGTTCGGCTTTAGTCAGAGTTATTTGGACTGCTGATGGTCACATTAATGATGCCCATAAGTCAGAAGAGAGTTTAAGCCCAAGTGCTAAACATACAATATGGAAGGAAAATTCTATGGGAGACACATTTCTACAAACACACACAACCCCTCTGCTAACATTCTGATTAGATGATAAAAGAATCATGAAATTTTAAATAGCAGCGGAAACCTCAATATAAGGTTGCCTTCCCTCATTATTCACTCACTCCATTTCTCTTTTGAAAAATATCAAAGGAAGATATTGATTGGAACTTTGTAATTCAAATACACAGCAGTTTTTCATTCGTTTTAATCCGCTAATCAGATTCTAGACCTGAAGCCATATTTACTGTGCGCATTTTAATCAGGATGATCCAAAGTTGTCAGAAGTTCTTCTTCTTCTTTTGTATCTTTTTGCCACTTTCCCTACTCACAAAGCAAGCAAGATATGGATGGAGATCTGACAGGTTATTATACACTGTGCTCAGCATTATGGCTTTTTCTTAGATGAATAGAACGATCCACACTGCAAATATAAATGTAAATAACTTACTAAATTTTAAAATCAGCAAAAGACAAATCTGCAACACAAAGTTGTTGCCCTGTTGCCTCTTTTTCCTTTTTACCATAAAAATGACAATACACACAGGATCAGATGATTCAAAACCAAAATGTTCACATACAGAAGGCAAGAGAGATGAAATTATAAATATTTGGTCTGACTTCTATCTTAAATGGTTGCAAACTTTTAAACACTGCACATATTCTCAGTTACACACCTTGTGATGGTGGAGAGAGTACAATAAGAGGGCATTATCAGTCATTGCAAAACAACAACATTTTTACAACAGGGTATGAAAACTTTCCCCAACACATGTTTTGAACAAAAACTTCCATGATTCCCTAATGTTTAATTTAGCAGCTGGGGAGTATGGGGTTGAAGTTCCAGACATTTGGAGGACTGAAGCTCCCTACCTCTGGTTTAAATATGTGTTTGCTTCTTGCCAAGCATCTGAGGATGTGACCACACAAAAGTTTATCTTGGGTCAGTGTGCAGCCTGACATTTAAATCTCTGTTGTTGTTCACACAGAAATGAAAAGATGCATTTCAAGTGTCCATACATCACATAGCCTCTCTTTTGTCTCACCTACTTTATCATTATCACCATTTTTTCTTCTACCCATTTTGCTGGCATCTATATCTCTTTAAAATGTTCAGCAACTGAAATAGCACTGAACTGAGAAGACATGGAAAATGCCTGAATTCATGCTGTATCAGTTTAGTGCTAAAACAGGAGGATTTTTTTTTTAAAAAAAATTCAACTTAGAAATTGCACTGCATTTGTATTACTTATCAATGTGAGCAGAAAACAGGCAAAAGGAATAGGGTTCACTCCCATGCCATGCTTCACTCAGTATATCATAAATTATATTATCTGGACATGCCCAGCAACTGTCCCAAAGGACTGATAGAGGAACTCCCAAAAGCAAAAAGCAAGACAAAATAATGCAACTTGAAACACTGTAAAACATCAATGGAAATGCTATAAAAACAAACAAACAGTTCTGTCAGGAGAACACAACAACACCACATGCTCATACCAAAAGACTTGATACACTTGTGAGTAGCACTAGCATCATGCAGACTGTGGAATAAATACTGAAATGAACAGCAAGAAACATGGTGCAAACAATGGCGTAAATATCGATTTAGAAGATTGGAGTAGAATATTTGCAAAATTCCTTCTGTATCTTGAAATACAAGAACACTAGAGGCTGCCTTAAACAACGACTGAAGGTTCAGTAAAGAGGTCTAGAAGATCTGTGTAGATTTCACGCCCTCGCATGCTCCGTAGCCACATTCATGGGAACAAATGTTCACAGAAGAACCACTGAATGATGTCCTAACTCATATTCTCTGAAGTGAGTCAGGAATTGTGAATGATCAAACAAAATTTAAGCTTGTGCTGGGGAACATCTTTGTTCTGAGGAAGGAACAAAGCACCTTGTACAACAAAGAGAACAAGACTGGAAATAAATGGGGTGGGATAGCTTCTGTGGTGCTATGCATGTCTCTATGTCCCTCAGATCTTGCCCTGAGTTTGGAAGCTGGTCAGAGGCTGTTGATCTTCTAGTGTTACCAACAGTTGAATGGGTGCAAAGTTTACAAACAAAACTGTCAAGAAACTGGAAAATGAGGGGGATGATGGTTTCAATTGCCTTTGAAATGCAGGCTCATTAACTTGCGCTGTGATGGGTAGGTCAGAAAAGAGGGGGAAATGGAAAGCTTTACCAACTGTGTTTTTATCAATTTGAGAAGGAATTTCGAAGGTCAATGCTCCCTCCCAGAACAGACTAGTTAAGAAAACTGATTTCAGTTGAAGTGAAGGAAGGGGGAGAATCTGACGTTACTTTGAGGAGAATTTACTGTCTTTGTGAAGTTTTAGCACAACTCAGAGCTTGACTGGTAAATTCCCTTGAAAGGTCTAGAAAGGTGGATGATGGGTTTAAAACTGGGAAAAAGAGTTTGCATTTAGCAGTCTCTCTTGTTGTTTATTCGTTAAGTTGTATCTGACTTTTCGTAACCCCATGGACCAGAGCATGCCAGGCCCTCCTGTCTTCCACTGCCTCACGGAGTTGGGTCAAATTCATGTTGGTCGCTTCGATGACACTGTCCAACCATCTCATCCTCTGTCATCCCCTTCTCCTCTTGCCCTCACACTTTCCCAACATCAGGGTCTTTTCCATGGGTCTCTCTTAGGAGAATAGTGCATAGTGTTCTCACTATGCTCACCTGCTGCTTTGTCACCTGATTTGTATTCTGCATTGTTCTGAAACTCCCTGTGACTCAGATATCTTCTGAATGTTCTTTGTTCCACAATGTTTCTGAAATGCTTTTGGAAATACTTTTTGAAACTTTGAACTTTATTCTTTTGATTTCTTGCTTGCTACACTTTCAATAAACATAATAAAATTTTGTAGAAGTTTGGTTAGTTTAAGAGGGTCGGGATACTAAACACCTTATCTTGACCAACTATTAGATTCCATACAGTTCGTGGGTATTTTGGCATTCCTATCTGGCAGGGTTGGAAATTGTTGCAAATTACAACATTCAACCTTGTGAGTTTTGGTAAATCCTTGGAGAACTGAGGAGTCAGAGTAATACAAGATGTAATACAAGGTGAGCGATGGATACTGGGCAGGAGGATTTTCTCCAGCCATCAGCACATCTGGCTCTCCTGGAAGGTAGTCACACCAGGTAAAACCTGGGCAGTGTGGTTAAATAGTTTGTGTGCACCTATCTGTCTTGGCCATAATTCTGACAAAAACAAAAAGGGATGCCTTGTTTATTTATTGTCTTGCCAAGAACAACTCTAACCAAGACCAGAGAAATCTTTAAGCTGTTACGGTTTCCTTGAACGTGGGG